TTTCTCCCTGTTCTAGCACACATGGGGAGGAGAAGTAATAACTTGTGTCCTTAAAGCACTCTTTCCCAAAATCACACCTTACTATGTTGTGTAGTGCTCCCATCATCCTCATTCTAAGTTCAACATTCAACTTCATTCAACCTCATTCAACTTCAGCAATGTCAAGATGCGCGGACTTCAATTCCCAGAATTCCCCACCCAGCATGCTGGCTGGGAGATTTGGGCGTTGAACTCCAGCATCTCCAGGTTGTTGAGGGTGAGAAACGCTGGGCTGGTGGTTAAGGCTGCAGGCTGGAAGCCGGGAGACTCTGAGTTCTAGTCCCACCTCAGGCACGAAAACCGGCAGGGAGACTTTCGGCCAGTTACTCTCTCTCGGCCCACGACGACGCCAGGCTTGGGTGAAAGCCAGTCGGTCAATTCCCGTCACGACCAAACGGATCAACATTCAGTTGATCTGAAAGGGGGGAAAAGCGGACCTGCACCTGCAGGAAAAACACTAGGAAGGGGGGGGGGAAAGACTGCTAGAATAGGTGAAATTTGGGGAGGCTGGATTAAAGGCACGGTTACTACTACCACTTTTTTTCTGGTTTCAGTTGTAAAAAGTAGTTAATGGTATCCACGGCTCATCTGTGAGTCTCCCTCAAGTATTCTAGGCTAAGCAGGGCATTATAGGCGAGACAGGACTAAATTGTGCTGGAACTTTCAGCAGGAACTTTAGCGCCTGCGCTTAATTTTTACGCGTGGCGGGACCTGCACAAGCGAGCCCGGCCAGTCCCCGCGGAGGCCCGTGGTCTGCACAGCAGGGCTGCCGGTGGAGCCTCAAGACACCTGCTGCCGAGGCCACGGTCGCTGCACCCCGAAGCCCAACAGTCTGCATAAATGCCCGTGTGCCACGTTTGCCCGTGAAAAGACCACTAACAGCGCCAGTGCCCCCGGATGTCCGCGAAAACAAAACGCCGCTCCCGTTTTCTTGGAGGATGAGAAGAACAGACTCGACGCTTTCCGTCGTCGTCCTCCAGCGGCCGCCTCGGCACCAACCTAGCGCGGGAATTACGCAGGCCGGGCCGGGCCGGGCCGGGCCGGGCCG